CTCTGGTTTCATTTAAAAGAGTCGATCATCAGATATTGTCCAAGATTAACCTTCAGGGTGGATATAGCTCGCTAGCAGCCTCCCACCGATGACCTAGTTGATGTCATCAATTTCCCAGAATGCTTTGTTTGTAAATAAAATGGCCCCGTCCGTGTAAAATATTTTTAAACTTTTAGTTTAAAAATTATAAAAACTGAGCATCCTACAGTGTTTTTAGTCTTAATTTTACAGTTAAAGTATATGTTTATCATATAAATTCTAATGTTACAACTAATCAGGGATCCCTTTAAAAACACCTCACTTCTATATTCTGTAAATATAGCTGAAATAACCATAACTGTCTGTAATTAGTTGATGTGTGGTTACTGACAGATGAAGCAGCAAACCTTGAAATGTTTTAATGATAACCACAGTTTACTCATGTAATGCTCTCAGGGAAAATTAAAGATTTTATATTCACTTGAAGCCAAAACAAATGCATTCAAGAACAGCTTTAATAAGAACTTGGCTAAATTGGGAAACAGCGTACGGCAGTAGTGCCCAACCCTGGTCCTCGAGGGCCACTATCATGCATGTTTTAGATGTTTTCCCCTGCTCTTCAGGATGTCTTTAAGTTCTGCAGAAGCCTGATACTCACTCGTTTATTCAAAGCAGAGAAACATTTAAAACATGCAGGATAGTGACCCTCAAGGACCAGGGTTGGGCACCACTGGCATATGTAATCAGAACGAGTGGGAGAGCAATCAACAGATTTGAAGAGCTGGCACAAAAATGAATGCAAATTGGATGCAATCATATGAAGGATCTGGAGAATTACCATATAATGCCATGTAGTAACATTTTAGTGAGCTTTAGTGACATTCCATAAAAACAGAAGGCAAGACAGCTGCCGGCCAGCTAAATGTATATGAAACAAACATATAAATTTATCAAATCTACTTATTCTGGACTAAAAAATCTTATTTACAGTAAGCATACAATACATATTGTAATAAACACACAATCAATATCAATATCAATAGAAAACAGTAACAATATATATCGCAATATTAATAGAAAATACATCCAGTAGAATGTTAAAGGGGCAATATCATGTAAAATCAACTTTTTTTTTGAGCTTTATATCATAAACAGTATGTGTGTGTGTGTGTGTATATATATACACTCACCGGCCACTTTATTAGGTACACCACGCTAGTAACGGGTTGGACCCCCTTTTGCCTTCAGAACTGCCTCAATTCTTCGTGGCATAGATTCAACAAGGTGCTGGAAGCATTCCTCAGAGATTTTGGTCCATATTGACCAAATATGGACCAAAA